AAATGCTTTTAGTTTCAGCAACCTAATTAAGGCAGCACTGCAAGCATAAGCTTTTAATTGCATACATTTGAGAAATTATGCATTAAAATTCAATAAATAAATAAATATATCCATTCTTGAAATATTCCATCATGTAAATACAGCATTTATTAATTATTGGAATATTTCAAATAAATTGAAAACACTCCTACCATCAATAAATGAAAGACATACGGTGTTGGTCTACTAAAAACTTGTTTGCAAGTATATTACAATTATATAATCTAATTAATTTATTATTTACTTGCTGATACTTGGCACTGAAAAGGTTGATTGTGCTGATCTACTATTTAATTGAGAATGCTATTTGCATCCTGTATTGAAGACAAAAAACAACAACATAGTGTAATCTGTAACAGATTTGATAAGAGAATAAAAGTGGAATTCCACTAACTTGATCAAAAACTGTCCCAGGCGCTATTTAAAAGGTTTGAGGGTGCCACTTATAAATACAGGATATCCTCCCAATAGCAGGATGCAGGACTTCAGAAGAATTAACCAGAAAAAGTTTAAAACACTATACAGTGCTCTGGAAAAAGGCTCTATTAGCTGAAAAACATTTGCTGCTTTTCTCATTTTCACTTTCTGCTGGGTTACTTAACTGTGGTGAGCTACATTTTATGGACTGCATATATAATAATGTGCTCGTCATACTTATGTACTTACATGTACCCAGTGATTTTATTGTTTTTAATTATGTTTTTTATTTAAAAATTACAATAAGTATTTCATGTTAATTCTTCTGGAGCCCTGCATCCTGTTATTGGGAGGATATCCTGTAGTCGTAAGTGGCACCCTCGTACCTTTTATATAAAGCGTGGGATGATCATGTGAGCTGAATTCCAACTGTGTTCTCTTAATGTGTTTTACAGATTACACTATGTTGTTGTTTTTTTACTTCAGCTTTAGGTACTGAATATTATTTATGTTGTACCTACAAATATTCCGTTGAGGAATATTAAGTATATTTTTTTTAATATTTTGTTTACTATGGATTTTTTTATCACCCCACACAAGGGCTTATATTTATGTTGTCAAGTTGGTATATGTTTTTATTTTTGTGCATTTTTTATTTTTGTGTGTTGGGGAAGCACCTTAATATATCAACCTTTCACTCATCTGCTAAAATGTGACTTGAAGCAACATATACACTTTATTAACTTTCCAAGTTTTATACAGAATAATATACAGATCTAGACATATGCGATTTGTTTCAATTCTGAATGTATATTCGTACAAATTTCATGCCATTCAGATGCTTACGAATGTCTGAAGTGCCGAAGTCCCGGTGCGCCAAAGTTCCGAAGTGACGAAGTTCGGTAGTTCGGAAGTGCCGAAGCTCAGAAGCGACGAAGCTTCGAAGCTCCGAAACTCCACTATTCCTTCACTATTCCCTGTCCAATGAAATGAACACATTTTTGTGATTGATGTTAGAGGACAGCCAATTATTATTATTATTATTATTGCCATTTATATAGCACCAATAGATTCCGTAGCGCTTTAAAATATTGTTGGTTTTGTCACTGACACTTGGCCAATGAAGGCACACAGACAGAGTCATTGAGGACTTGCATTCATGTGACCACAGACATGTGCAATCCATTTTGTTCTGAATGTACATTCGTAGGAATGTCATGCCATTCGGACACTCGGATGCTTATGAATGTCCGAAGTGCCGAAGTTCCCAAGCGCCAAAGTTCCGAAGTGCCGAACCAAATGCCATTGGTCCGAATTGCCGAAGCAGACAATTTTTATTACTTACCCGAATTTCCAAACCAAACCAAATTTTTTGCCCATGCACATCCCTATCCAGATCTAAAGTCCATTAAAAATAACTTGGCACACTCAATGTTACTTGATATCAGTATAGAGATAATTTTTTACACCAGGGGCTCCAAATCTGAGCATATTCGCAATACTTATTTGTTGCATGAAATATAAACTTTTTTTCATCCTAGCTGGTTCTTCACAATATCCCATTTTAATTTACTGCAATTTTTCCATATCCTGGCGATACAGATTTTAACCACCAGGCCATATTGAATCACAAGGCTTTTTTTGCTAGGGGAGGATTTGAAGATTTACATGTAGCAACACTACCTCTGGGTAGGGAGGAAAAAATGTGTTTGTTAAATCTGAAACTATTGCAAAGACTTTATGACATATATCATATATAATTTTCTTGCAATCACACCAGATATAGGAATAAGCACCCAAATCTTTATTACATCTCCAACAAATTGAATATTCCGAGGAAGCAAATTTTGTTATTGTAGCAAGACTGCCACTAAACTGTGCCTTGAAATGATTTCCCTGTTGTGTGTATACTGTTTTGGCATGTGTTCTCCCTCCCTTTTTGGTATTTTCCCTATATTGCTCTTGTAGTTTGCTCTGTGTGTTCGCCTAAAACTGCCTGCTCCCTGTTCGGGAAGTGCCACCACGAAGGGAATCCATTCACCTGCCAAATGGGGACCACCCCGAAACTCCAATTAGAATGTTGTCTTTGAATGTTCGCACCTCGTAACGAGGTGTCAAAACCACAAACCACAAGGGAAGTCTTGGAGCGTGCCTACCCTGGGTGGTGGCCCATTCATTAGACGAACACCACCCAGGGGGAGCATACTCAAATAAGACCTCCTTAGTGCCCCTTGGAGTGTTCGCACCAATCCATTAGAACGTTGGCAACTCGCAACATAAATGTGAAAGGGAAGTAAATAATGAGTGCTTCCCAAAAAGAAGACACTTCCCTTGCCTGGTTTCACCTAGGGACCCTGCGAGCCGAGGCTGTTCATGATGGTTACTGTTCTGGGGTGTCCCTGAGATTGGTGGGTACACTCTGTGGTGACAATTGCAGTTTGGTGGGCTTTCTGTAGCTGGGAGCCAAAGAGGCAGGAAGCTTTCCTGCTCTTGGACTCCCAGGTACAGCGGCTCCTGGGAGGAAGACCTCCTGTCACCAGAGGTTGGAAACCCTGGGGATGGGTGGCGGGAACAGGGGACAAAGGGACTGGAGTTCCAGTTCCGTTATACAACCCCGGGAGGGGGAGGCCCCTGGGAGGAGACATTGTCATTATGTGTGAGCCACCCCTTTCATGGGGAAAGTATAAAGCCGAGTGTGGCCAATAAAGATGTTGTTGTACCCCTGGAACTGTGTGTCGTCCTGGTACTGGGGGAAAATGGGTCTCTACATTCTCTAAGAGCGGAGGTAACCAGTCAGGTTACCCAGGGTCCGCTACAGTTATTATTTGTGGAATCAAATATTATCTATTTGAAATCTTAAAATGTAATTCCTGCATGTTCAGACAGTGAGTAACAACTTATTTCATATCTTTTCTCTACCCAGAAATATCTACCAACCTGTAAGTTCAATACCCTTTGCTGACTTTTCCAATAGTCTGAAGAGGGCCATCTAGTAAACAAAGAAAGTTGTACCACGTTTTTAGAATTTCCGTAGCCATTTTACCAAGGAAAATAGTATTAATATGTTCTCCAAAAGGAGTGTTATCTATCATAAGGTCATGATATTTAGCATAATTCATAATTCTCATAACCGTAAAATTTAAGATTAAAGAGTTAAGGTTCTTTCTACGATCTATTTACTTTTTCAAGTGCAGTGGCAAAACATTTTCAAGGGATGAAAAATCCATTAGATTTTTTTCTATTTGAAACCACTTCACATTTTTAGGTTTAAAATCTTGAATATGCTTTAACAAATTCGCCTGAATAAACCTGTCCAAGTCTGGAATATTTTATCCCCTTGTGATTTATCTAAATAAAGCTATTTTCTTGATACCCTTGTTTTTTAATTTTGCCAAATAAAAGTTTTAATCACTATTTGAAACTCTTTGACTATAGCCTTTGGGATTTTTAATTAGATCATTGTAAGCAAATTTAACCATTTTGGGAAGATATAACACTTTATTATATTCAATCTTCCTATCCATGATATAAGGAAAGTTTTCCACTCTGCTACCTTCCTACTTAGATCTTTCAATAATTTAATTCTGGCAATTGTTCGATTTTATTAGGATTTATTAAACCTAAATAATCAATACCCATTGAAAAGCAAATTTTGTTTTTAATTTCTGCACCTCTGCTTCTTTTATGGTATATTATTATTTAAAGATGAAAAGATATTTCCGGTTTGCATAAAGTTATCAGAAAATCTTCTGCTTATAAAGATTATTAGCTTTTCAAAGGGCCCACTCTTAATCATTTTATAAGATTGTTCCTATGTGTATATATACACAGCTAGTCATTTAAGGGTTAAAATATAAATAAAAGAAGCCAACGGGCATCCTTGTCTAGTCCCATTATTTATTGTAAACCATTCAGATTCCAAGCCCTCCCCCATAATTTTAGTAGAAAGGAGACCATAAATGGCCATGATACAATTGGTTATTTTTTCCCCAAAACCAAAAACTTTCAGAGTATCCTCTAGGTATGTCCAACCAACTCTACCAAAGCCCTTCTCAGCATCCAAAGGAAGAACATGCATTGACATTTGATAGCTATTTGACTATTCATTTAAAAAGATAATTTTTTTAGAGTTTACGTTTGCCTGTCGGCCTTCCATGAAGCCTGCTTGATCAAGGTGAATAACCCTACTCTGAGCTACCAGGAGAGTCAAAACACCTATTTAGGAGCTTATGTTAGCTCTCCTGAGCTAAGTCCTGTTATAGAGGGCTAGCTCATTGGCTGAGAGTATCAGCCGATCACACTACAGAGTGCGGTAGTGGTTAAGTGCTTGGGGTGTTCATTTAATATATTCTGAAATAAACTTATTTCAGTCCTTGATCATAAAAAAGCATATATATTTTTGTAAAATAGTAAAAGCTACATTGAACAAAATTATAAATGCATAAAATCCCCTATTTTTTATGATATAAACTCAAAGATCTAAGAATTTTTCTATGTACACAAAAGACCTATTCCTCTCAAATATTGTTCACAAATCTGTCTAAATCTGTGTTAGTGAGCACTTCTCCTTTGCAGAGATAATCCATCCTCCTCACAGGTGTGGCATATCAAGATGCTGATTAGACAGCATAATTTTTGAAAAGGTGTGCCTTAGGCTGGCCACAATAAAAGGCCACTCTAAAATGTTGTCTAATCAGCATCTTGATATGCCACAGCTGTGACGTGGATGGATTATCTTGGCAAAGGAGAAGTGCTCACTAACACAGATTTAGACAGATTTGTAAAAATATTTGAAAGAAATATGCCTTTTTATAATTTTGTTCAGTGTATTAGTAATAAATTAGTAATACATTAGTAATTTGATAGAACTATACATCTTCAGATGTTTTTCTTTTTGCATCATTTAGCGAACACATGAATTGAGTTGACATTAATAAGCACACACAGAACAATGAATATTCAGAGCCTATAATGTATATGTTAATAATTAATATAAGTTAATAGCATTTCTCCTTAGAGTTATCAAAATGATTAAATTCTATTTCGGGCACTCCATAGTGTGAGAATATCTACAGCATTAATGGCTCCAATAGCTGCTCTTTATAAGACAAATGTACACAAAATAAAGAAAAATGACCAAATGCAAAACATCCTAGATTAACTACAATATACAGTTTTTTAAAAAGCAAATGTGTTCTTTTTTTGTTTGCTTCTTTGTTTTCACATCCAACTGTGTTTTTCTATACATTTAAATGCTGTTCCATAGTACCCTTCAATATTAAATTATCCTTTGTATGCTACAGTATGCCCAACAAAGCTCATTTTTTTTAACGGGATAGTCTAAGCACCCAAATCACTTAACCCTCATGAAATATTATGGAAATAGATGCTGGCCTTTCAGTCTCGCAAAATAACTAATTGCTTTCTGAAAAACCACATAATTTACATGTTGCAATGCCACGCCTACTAGTGGCTGTCAGCAGGACCGCACTGGGAAAAAAATATCATCCTGGCCATTTTTAATTCTAGTAAGTGGGAGGGGACAAAGAGAAAGGTGTTTTGTCAACACCAATGACAAGCATGCCCGGGCCCCCCCCATAGTGAGCATGCTGGCTCAATGCTCTTCCGAGGCAGACCATGTACAGAGTCCAGCTGAAGAGCTCTCACATGAGAAAAAGGCACAGTATTTAGTCTGTGCAGTGCAAGTAAATGCACTGTGTTTGCTTGTGACTTGTCTCCATAAGTGAGATATCAGAGACAAAATTACCAGGAAAGTGTATTGTGCATGTGTTTGTGGGATTGTGTGTGTAGAGTGAGTTGATTGTGGTGTGGTACATCATGTAAATAGGTTGGTTTCAGTTTTATTGTTTGTTGTGTAACATGTGTGACTAGGGGCTGTGGAGCATGAGGGAGTGTTTGTATAGGGGGTAATGTGTATAGTTATGTTATGTATGTGTGTATTGGTAATATAGTGTGTAGGGGCTGTAAAGAGTTTGTTTTTAGGAAATGTAATGTGTTAGCATATAGGGACTCTTCTGTGTGCATAGGTGACCCAGAGTGTGTTGTGAGGGGTGCAATGTGCAAGGAGTGGAATGTTTGAAACTGTTTGTAGGTGTAAGTCCCATAATGTGTGTTTGAATGGTGCAGTGTGTGTGAGGGGTGCAGTAAGTGTGTGATGGATGCAATATGTGTGAGGGGTGCAACATATGTATGGGAATTGCAGTGTGTGTGAGGGGTGCATTGTGTGTGAGAGCTGCAATGTGTATGTGAGGGGTACAATGTTTGAAAGTGTTTGGAAGTATGAGGCCTATATATTGTGTGCAGGACCCAGTGTGCGTGAGAGGTGTAGGATTTGTGAAGGGTGCAATGTGTGTGAGGATTGCAGTGTGTGTGTGTGTGAGAGGGGTGGGATGTGTGTGTGTATATTGGGATGATGGAAAAGGAGGGGGCAGGCTTTTACAGTATGCAGTTTGAATAGATTCTGACAGTAAAATTACACAGATTAGGATTGATGGGGAAGAACTGTGTGGTATCTGAGTTAAATTATTTTGAGAGTTATTCACTAAACAAGGAATTGTGGTGAACTGTGAAGGATATTGCAAATTTTAGACAAAAATAACAAGACTAAATAAAAGATCTCTAGCTCAGCTATTTGTTCAGCTTGCAGATTTTAAGGAGACTGTATTTTTTAGTCTGTTGTCCAACCTTTCTTGTATAGAGAAGCATTTATGGGTTTATTCACTAAAGTGAGAATTCAAAGTGCATTTCAAATTTTATATGCTGATATATATATATATATATATATATATATATATCTTTTACAGATGCAGACATATAGTACACATATTCGAACACACATACTATATGTCCACAGTGTGTTCTCATCATTCACCCACATCACATTCTCAGAATGTTTCCACATTCCCTTCTATACTTGACATTTTTCTGACATTTTCTTTGCAGTGCACTCTGCTGGTGTGATGTTGAGATGACATTACAAGTAGAGTACCAGTTGTCATCCATGAGTCATTGGACTGTCATGATCGACTGAGCATGGCATGCAGTTCACTCTCTTAATCACTGTTCACAGTCAAATACTGCTTATTCTGTGTGCACTTTTGGTTTCTGCAATTCTAAACTACTATTGACCATATAAAATCCACACAATATGTATAATAATTAAAAAAATGCTTCAGATAATAAATTACAAAAATATTTGAATGTGGGAAAACGTATTGTGCAGCACCAGTAGAATAAGTTTGTAAAAAATGTAATTGAAGAAACTGTGCGCCTGAGTGTCACTGCTATATGGCATATGTTGAGTCTTCAAAAGGTAACCTTGTGTCTTCAATGTGTATTTTAATACCTAAATATAGTGTTGTAGCTGTGGACAGATGGACTGAAAAGTAAAATCCAACAGGCTCCCTAAATACTATACAATAGAAAGGTTGGTGTAGCATCTGGAATGTCCTTTGAAGATATATGCAACGACAAAAAGAAGAGACAGAAGCAACTGATAGTGTAGCAGGTAAACACTTCTTGATAGAATAAGGATAAGTAAAATTGTCAGTAAGAGATATGTAATATATACACACTAGAGTAATTTAAATATATAGATACGTGAAACCTAGGTGTTCCCCAGGTGTACCTCACAAACACCCAATTAACCAAGATAAAGAGAAAAGTGGGGAGAAACCCAGTACACGTAAAATTGTAATAAAATACAACCTGATAATTGGACCAGGATAATATAATCAATGTGAACCTATAATAGGAATAAACAATGCATATCGTAATACAATTATAATAAAGTGAAAATAGTGCTGGTAAGTATTAAACTCACAAACATAAGTGAAAAGTAGGCTTCTCACCACACCAGGGGTTAATACGAATAATAGGGCCAGTAGATATCAGCCATATAGGTGTTCATAGATTCCCTGGATAAATGCAGAAAGAGAACCACATATGGTGAAGTACAGTAAAATCACAAAAAAGATTTATTAAAGTTGCACTTACAAGCAGGCAGCAAATCTGGGCATATCTCCACACAAGTGGAACCAGGTTACAAGAAGGTGGGTCTTCTCAATGCCAGCAACAAAGTATAAAAACAAAATGATACAAATAAAATCAAAAGTCACTGTTAAGTTCCAATTGGAACAAATTATATATCAATTCTATCTATCTATCTATGTATCTATCCATACAAATGTATGATTACCTTTGTTCTTATGAGCAAAGCTCTATTATTTTCTTTAGTGCAGTTTAGTAAATAATGATTATAAAAAAAATTGTCCTAAAGTTATAAATAATATAACCTTTATCAATAACATTTGTATCTTATGTCCTTGAAAATAAATATTTTTGTAGCACTTGGTGTGCACATTTACAATTGTTTGCGCTGCCCTGATTTTTTCTATTTTTGTAGGTAGATTGATAGATACAGTTGCAAGAAAAAGTATGTGAGCCCTTTGGAATGATATTGATTTCTGCACAAATTGGTCATAAAATGTGATCTGATCATCATCTAAGTCACAACAATAGGCCACTTCAGAAGGCGTATTTTCTTCTGTTTAAGCCATTCTGTTGTTGATTTACTTCTATGCTTTGGGTCATTGTCCTGTTGCAACACCCATCTTCTGTTGAGCTTCAGCTGGTAGACAGATGGCCTTAACCCCTTAAGGACACATGATGGAAATATTCCATCATAATTCCTATTTATTTTAGAAGTTGTGTCCTTAAGGGGTTAAGTTCTCCTACAAAATGTCTTGCTAAACTTGGGAATTAATTTTTCCTTCGATGATAGCAATCCGTCCAGGCCCTGGAGCAGTAAAGCAGCCCCAAACCATGATGCACCCACCACCATTCTTCACAGTTGGGATGAGGTTTTGATGTTGGTGTGCTGTGCCTTTTTTTTTGCCCCACATAGTGTTGTGTGTTTCTTCCAAACAACTCAACTTTGGTTTCATCTGTCCACAGAATATTTTGCCAGTAATGCTGTGGAACATCCAGGTACTCTTGTGCAAACTGTAAACGTGCAGCAATGTTTTGTTTGGAAAGCAGTGGCTTCCTCTGTGGTTTCCTCCCATGAAATCCAGTCTTGTTTAGTGTTTTACGTATTGTAGATTTGCTAACAGGGATGTTAGCATTTGCCAGTGACTTTTGTAAGTCTTTAGCTGACACTGTAGGATTCTTCTTCACCTCATTGAGCAGTCTGCGCTGTGCTCTTGCAGTCATCTTTACAGGACGGACACTCCTAGGGAGAGTAGCAGCAGTGCTGAACTTTCTCCATTTATAGACAATTTGTCTTACCGTGGACTGATGAACAGCAAGGCTTTTGGAGATACTTTTATAACCCTTTCCAGCTTTATGCAAGTCAACAATTCTTAATCGTGGGTCTTCTGAGAGCTCTTTTGTGCAAGGCATCATTCACATCAGGCAATGCTTCTTGTGAAAAGCAAACCCAGAACTGGTGTGTGTTTTTTATAGGGCAGGGCAGCTGTAACCAACACCTCCAATCTCATCTCATTGATTGGACTCCAGTTGGCTGACATCTCACTCCAATTACCTCTTGGAGATGTCATTAGTCTAGGGGTTCGCATACTTTTTCCACCTGCACTGTGAATGTTTACAGGGTGTGTTCAATAAAAACATGACAACGTTTCATTCTTTGTGTGTTATTAGTTTAAGCAGACTGTGATTGTCTATTGTTGTGACTTAGATGATGATCAGGTCACATTTTATGACCAATTTGTGCAGAAATCCATGTCA